CTACTAATCCAAAAGTAATGCCAATCAAGGGGACAGCTTCCCTCACATAATATTCCATTGGTGTCTCTATCTTTTGTTTAATAATGGTGGGAAAGATTCGCCGAGATATAGCGGACGAACTCGGCAATTCAATAGGTTGTTCCCAAATCCTCTCGGACGTAAATTGATGAATCTCGGGGAATATTTCCGAAACATTTAAATAATGTGATGGCACTAAATCATTACCTTTGAACGTTGAATTAGAATATCCTTCCATTTGTACTGTCAGATTACTAATTTCTAAAGTACAACATTCCTTCAATGATATTCTACCGTTATTACTTAATTCTACCGTATCCGTAAAATTAGGACAACTCAAATATCCGGAACTTGGCTCGGCTAAGCTATAGAGTGTACTCCCGGGATTTTCCAAAGAAATCCAAACATCACCAATCGCTGGGTTAAGCATTATGTCACAATTGACATGGGGATTCTCTAAATATTTAGAAAACAACAATTGAATCTCACAAGTTAGCGTTGCCCGCACCGAATAAATGATTGAGGGTTTATCACAAATTCTAAACAAACCCTTTTGTATACAATCATCCAATTGTTCTTGTTCAAGAAAATAGTATAGCGTATTGTTATCAAATAATACCACATATTTAGCAGTAGGTTTCACCTGAGCGAAAACTTGAGTATTATTACCTAAGTTTTGCACAACTGGATGAGAATATATCTGATACAAGTTTCTTTTACTCTCCTCGACAAGGGGAATCCTTGTCGTAATGATTAACGTCCCGTTTTTTATGACCGTACGGGTCTTGATAATTCCTTGAAGCTGAGCTAGATTGACTTCTTTAATAGGAAATGGAACTTGAGTATCTTCTCTAACTTCCAAGAATTTAAGTACCACCGTAAGCCTGAACTGATCATAAGTCATGGGATGGAACATTCCCATTTCCGCATTTTCAACTATTTGGATTACATTATTAAATAATCTTATGCGAAGTTGGATTAACGCATTTACATGCTGAGTGAGGTTAGACAGAACCTTCTTATATTTAAATTCATGAGTGTAACGTGTTTGTAAATTCCCAGCATCCAGATTGATGAGGGTTTGAGTAGTATTTAACTTCTCGAGAATACTATTGACACCAGATGGTGTGTAAAAACTTTGCTCACGGACAACAATTTTTTCACTTTCTCGCTTAAACGGTATTACTCTATCATAATAATTTCTTCCATCTCTCTCAAGGACAGTATTGTAATTTCTAAAATTGGCATTACTAGGCGTGCCCCATGGCCGAATATAACTGAGCGTCATATTCCAGAGATATGATATTTCTTTATCGTACATTTCCCATTGAGCCATCCTCAAATGATTGTAACAATCTAAAAGTTGTTCGTGACAATATTTCGCGTACACTTCTAAAATAGGCATTAAGGGCTCAGAATGTTTATGTAATTGACTTATCTCGATCCCAGTGTGGATGGACCAAGTCNTAAACGGTATTACTCTATCATAATCATTTCTTTCATCTCTCTCAAGAACAGTATTGTAATTTCTAAAATTGGCATTACTAGGCGTGCCCCATGGCCGAATATAACTGAGCGTCATATTCCAGAGTTATGATATTTCTTTATCGTACATTTCCCATTGAGCCATCCTCAAATGATTGTAACAATCTAAAAGTTGTTCGTGACAATATTTCGCGTACACTTCTAAAATAGGCATTAAGGGCTCAGAATGTTTATGTAATTGACTTATCTCGATCCCAGTGTGGATGGACCAAGTCTCCTTGATGACCTTGACACTCCCCAGTTC